GGTTCACCCTGACAATCTTCATCCATTTAATTATAATCTTCAACGGTCTGTTTTCATAAAAGCGACGCCACGACGATTTTTGGCGCGTAATTCGATTCTGTGATGAAATGTACTCGGCTTCCCTCCTAACCTTAACTACAAATTAGCCGTCCGCCATCACCTGAGCGAGGTAACCTAACCGCTGGTGTACCTGGGATAATAAACATCTACGGTGGTACATTTTTTCAAAAGTATCGTCACGACTTAGCTGGGGGAAGATCTCTGACCATTAATAATTCCTATGATGATTCGTCTCTCTTAAGATACGAATTAACGCGGGCCGACTACAGTATACACGATGGTCCTAACAGCTAGGTGTACCTTAGTTAATTAAAGTCTTCGGCGGTACGTTTCTCAAAAGTCGTGTGTAATCAACCAGGGCGGTTCACCTTATGATAGTTGGAGGTGTTGAAGCTATCTAATGTTCACAGCTTTTCCCACACCTTATACACCCGCTGTTGATGCTCGATAAATGACCTGTTTCGGAACTCCCAATTATCGCATTTTTAATCATCTGTATCAGATTTCATCGGTGCAAACGTTTGGCATTAACGTTTCTTCATCTGGTGGAATGATTATCTTCTGTCATTTGTTGATTTAAGGCGGTGAGAATGGTGGTGTAAAAGGAGGAATTATTGTACGTATGGCGCGGGAGAGGACTGCCACAAGGCGGTTGGAGGGAAGATGATGGTAACATTCAATTAACTTCAGGTTAGAGAATGGATCACTCCCACTCGACTAGCACGCCACACGCAGATGAGAATTCAGTTATCTAATAGCTACGTGGGTGCACCAAAGTCCTAATTTAATCTCTGGTGTAGCTATACTTACAGGCTGCCTTTTAGCATTGTTTAATTTGATAGAGTACGTTTTGATCGGGTTGATTGTAATAATACACTATTAAGAACGGGTTACGCAGGAGTTATGCAGATGGAGTCAGGCTGAAATGGATAATGTTTTTTTTTTTGTTTTTTTCGTCTTTTTTTGTGAATATTGGAAGGTTCTGGCGGTGGTTTTTATATTATCTGTGTCTGAAAGAGTGAAACAGAGGGAAAAGATTGCATGGCGAAGAGATACAGGCCATCATTATCTCTTGGTATAGGAGGAGTCTCAAACAGAGGTCTCTTGCCGCTTCGTGTTTCCTCCTCTCCACACTACACATCCACTCTGTCACACACTTAACACCACACACTCACTTACTACCACAAACACTCAACACTAGAATGACAATCCGTTGAGTCAGAACACATAAGAGTTGTTTTAGGAAAGTGTTCAATGACTAAGTTTAAGGGCGAGATATGCTGTTACCTACACGCCCTCGACCAGCCAGCCAGTTGCCTGCCGAGGGGCACCATCCACCCGCCTTGTAATTACCCAAATGTGGTTCAGGGCCGCCACCACCACCACCACCACCTTCTACAACCTGGCTCATGTTGACACTGTTGTGATGTGCCTTTATGGATATCCTCTAATATATATGTATGGTGGCTGAGTGGATACATCGCTCGCCTCCCGTCCTGAAGGTTGTTGGTTGGTACCCCCACAAGGCACCACACTATTTCACCTGTAGATGGTTACCTAACTATATAGTGAAGGTGGTCTGACTTGATATATGTATACAGTGAGATTAAGTTGATATTGTTTTGCCTCGCTCTTTCTCTCTTGGCTCACATTTCTTTTTTAAAGGTAATATTTTCCTAATTTATATATTTGTTCTTAATTAAAATGAAGAAAATCTGATATTATTTTATATTTTTGACCTATGTAAACAAACCATCACTAAGCGATATGGCAATACATTATTATCGTTATTACTTTTGCCGCTCTGCCGTAGCATAATTTACACACTCGAGTCTCTTAACTACTTGTCTTCTCCCCCCTCACCTCTGAATCCCCCTTATCCCCTATGTCTCCCCCCCATCTCTCACTGTCTCTACTGTAGTATCTCACTCAGGTTCTGAACATTTGTCAAACCATCTCAGCACAGACACCAAGTTCAAAAGACACGAGTGTGACTTCGTTTCAGCTGTATAAAAATCTATCGCTATTCGCCTCTCGCTCTCTGGGTGTGATACGATTTCATGCTGTGTTTTACTGTCGGTTCTGTATATGCCACTAGCGTTAATAAGGCTGCTAGGTATAGGATGTGTTGACCGAGATTAATATTTCTATGACATACACCAAGGCCCTTCACTGCTGCCTCTGTGGTTTTAAGGTTTTTGATATTGTTATTATTATCATTAATCATCATCTTCCTGCCAGTTGGTCCTGTTATCCATCAGTCTTTCTATCTGTTCATCTCTCCTACAAATTCCGCATCACATCTTCAAGTATACATACAAACATCAAGCCTCATATATAAAACTGAGAAACAAAATATAAAAAAAAATAAAAGAAAAACTACAAAACCTGGATTCCCAAAATATTTTAGCCACAATAACTCACCAGATTACACTCTCCTACACCTGTGCAATGAGTCTCTCTCTACACTTACACACTGATGTACGGTTACACTTGTGAGCTTCTGCCATATATAATCACCTTCAGTTAGATATAGTTTATAGATACTCAACACACACACACACACACACAAACACACACACACACACACACACACACACACACGCGCACGCACACACACACACACACACACACACACACACACACACACACACACACGCGTCTGATTAACCTGATAACCAGGTGGGGGAGGAGACCCGGCTGCTGCCTTTACCTCCCTAATGGCTAATGGTACCTGGCCTACCTACCCACCTGCTCTCCTGCTTGCCCACCTACTAATCCACTTTCCTTCCTGCTTGCCTACCTGCTTCTCTACCACCCAGTCACGCACTTTACCTACTTATCTATCTACCTACCTGCCTCACCGTCCCCCCGCCTACCAATTTTCTCAAGATAATTCATCAAAAAAAAAAAAAAAAAAAAAGTATTTCCCAAGTGTAATTTTACTTGACTACACAACTCGGCTGATAGGTATTTTCCCTGACCACTACCACATGCTACCGCTAGTTGAGGCGAGCCATCAATCATGTTAGGAAAGTATTATCTTAGAGAGTCGATGTTTCGTTGTTCCATTCGACTCTTTTTAACACTCACTCGAGGGTTCGTTTTAACTGTTTATTTTATTGTTTTTTTTTTATTTAGGGAATTTCGTCACTTTGATGAGTTGATTAGATATAAATTATAAAAGTAGTATTTTTGTTACTTTTATTATTTTCTTTTTTATTGTAAAGTAATGGGCGATTTGTGTATGGTTAAAGATACTACAGTACTACCTGAGACTGATGGCGTTACTGAAGTGTTATTTGTGTTATTGAAGTGTTAATTAAGTGTTACTGAAGTGTTACTGTGTTATTGAAGTGTTAATTAAGCGTTACTGAAGTGTTACTGTGTTATTGAAGTGTTAATTAAGCGTTACTGAAGTGTTACTGTGTTATTGAAGTGTTAATTAAACGTTACTGAAGATTTACTAAAGTGTTACTAAAGTGTTACTAAACTGCTACTGAAGTGTACGATTAATTGTGACGTAGAACTCCTTAAGGTTGTACTACTGACAATTATGGGTAAAAACTTAATTACACTTTACATTATCATTCAGTAATTGTGTTGTTAGAAGCTGTTGTCAACATTACTATAAAGATGACCCACAGTTAATGGTATTTCAGTGAATAGGTTATAGAATTTGGTGAACTGGTTGTCGGGGTTATTATTTGGTTGACTGGCTGATAAAACGTAGAGAATCTGACAAGGAGAAATGTTAGTGTGTGTGTGTGTGTGTGTGTGTGTGTGTGTGTGTGTGTGTGAAGGATGGAAAAAGTAGCCCCGTTCCCTCGACTTCCCCCTCCCATTCTCCTTCCCCTCTCTTCTTCCTTCCCCACCTCCGCTCTTCTTCCCCCCCTCCCCCCTCTCCCTCCCCTACTGAAGTGAGAAAACAAGGAGTAGTATATGCTCTCACAGCACATGCCTGCTGCAACAAGTGTTTAATACTGCAATCCTTCCAACACCTGTGATTCATTATTATATCCAGAACAAAAAGCTATTACATTATTTTACTCTCTCTCTCTCTCTCTCTCTCTCTCTCTCTCTCTCTCTCTCTCTCTCTCTCGTACTTCTCTTTGGGCACTCAGTAGCGTTTAGTGTTCTCTGCGGTGATTGTTTCGGCCTTGATTGGAAAACGTTTTAGGAAATTTTGTTTTGGATCCTCAGTGAATATTTGGAGACTTTAGTTTATTTCACCCTAACCTAACCTAAGTTTATTTCACATTAACCTAACCTAAACTAACCCAACCTAACCTATCAAACTTAATCCAATATAACCTAATCTAATCTAAGCTACTAAATCTAAACTAATATAACGTAATATAACATAATCTAACTCACCTGCCCAGGTAGCGCTAAGGTGTTTAATCATAAGGGAAAAATAATCTGGGTTGCCTAATCTTCACGTGACTCATCTTGCAGTGAAATTTTACTGTTGACTTCTTAAAAAACAACGATTTGAAAGCTGTTACACCTCAAACTAAAACATTATTTTACGTGAATCGGAAAAAAAGTAAAGTTTATTCTAAAATCTGACGTAATTTTTCGTTATACAATTTCATTCACACAGGTATTAAAAGATCGTGATTATTTTAGCTACAATCTCACCTGTATAATGGCTTCTGAGTCATTATCGATCGTCATGACTATAATTTTATTTCTGACGCAAAAAGTGAAGAGATTTAGCCTTAACAATGATGAACTTACATATTATTTGATAACGAAAATTCAGTCATTATTGTTTTTGTTTTTTGTAGTTGGTAGAGTAAATGGTTTAGACCGCCAGAACACAAACGTTGGTATACAAAAAGTGAGCAGTGCTGTGTCATGGTTCTGTATGTCTGTCATTAACTAATATTAAGTTTATGTCAGTTGTTCAATGTTTGTGTTTTTCTCCTCCTCAGGGACACGATGGAGTCCATGTTGGTGGACCCGCGATACCTGGGGGCGCCGCTAAGAGGGTACATGGAGCTTGACGCCGAGAACAACAACCTCTTGGAGAAGGCTCGAGCCCAGCTTATGTGGGACCGCCTCGCAGCCATCACCGCCCCGCCCGGAGCCTCAGGGACTGCCCCGCAAGTAGCAGCCGCTGCCGCAGCCGCAGCAGCAGGGCTCTTGCCACATTCTATGCCGCAGTTATACACCCTCAACCCCTCTCGAGGCAACCCGTCCCCGCTACCGCTACCTGCACACTTGTGGACTCAGTGGACAGCACTACACGGCCTAGGCCACCCTAACCCGGCACTCTCACACCTCACCTCCTCACCTCGACTGCCAGCCACCTCGCCCACTCGGCCCTCTCTGCTGCGCCTTCATCGTCTTCTGCATCGGTGTCTCAAGCGGCGGCGGCGGCAGCCCTAACGCGGCCGCTCTTCCCAACGCCACTTAACCTCCACCGCTACTCCCCGTACTTCCTGCCCAAGACCTCACCCTCAGACCCTCGAGACCACACCCTGCCAGACCATCAGTCCTAGAGACCACTTCACCTCTAGGCGTGTGTGATGGACGGGCCGCGGGCGTCCTCAAGAGTCATCAGTGCCTAAGGAAACTTAGCTATCTGACGTGACAGTGTCGAGGACCTCAACTAACCCCAAAGATGCCGAGTTCAGTCACATCGAGAAGCCGCTCCTTCTTCCCGCCCCTTCTGTTCCCTGTCTGTGTTAGGTGAAGGTCGGTGTGAAGAGCCTCCACGGTGTTTGTGTTAGGTGAAGGTCGGTGTGAAGAGCCTCCACGGTGTCTGTGTTAGGTGAAGGTCGGTGTGAAGAGCCTCCACGGTGTCTGTGTTAGGTGAAGGTCGGTGTGAAGAGCCTCCACGGTGTCTGTGTTAAGTGAAGGTCGGTGTGAAGAGCCTCCACGGTGTCTGTGTTAGGTGAAGGTCGGTGTGAAGAGCCTCCACGGTGTCTGTGTTAAGTGAAGGTCGGTGTGAAGAGCCTCCACGGTGTCTGTGTTAATGAAGGTCGGTGTGAAGAGCCTCCACGGTGTCTGTGTTAGGTGAAGGTCGGTGTAAGGAGCCTCCACGGTGTCTGTGCTAAGTGAAGGTCGGTGTGAAGAGCCTCCACGGTGTCTGTGGCAAAGAATGACATAACACATTCAGTACCACAAAGACTTTTTGTTTTCATGAGGTCATGCAGTACAGGATGAGTGAGCATGTCGCTGGTATTCCTGACTGAGCTTCTTGGCCTCGTGTAGAAGGTGTGATGGTGGTGTGTGGTGCCGGAACTACTCGCTTCCTCCCTCACTCTGTACTGTGAAGTTACTGCATCAGGGGAGAAAAATGAACAGTGTCTTCACTTAGAAAGAGAAATGACAACAATGTTCTCTACATCTTGTGGGTGGCGGAGGTGTGTGGCCGGGTAGTATTATAGTGGACCCTTAACCAGAGCAGCTATGTCTGGACAGAGGACACATCTAGATAATACGGACGTCTGACTATGGCGGACGGACACACGTGGATATTACGGACGTCTAGATAAAACGGACTCCTGGGTGAAGTTTAATTCTAAATGTGATAAAAGTTTTAGACAAGAAGCGAGTGTTGATGTTTGTGTATAGAGAGACTACTAAAAGCTTCTTGATGGGAGCTATTCTCTCTGGGTGTCGCTGTGTACAACCCCCTCCCCCCTTACACACACACACCCCCTCCCTCACACCTGGCCCTTGAGCGGAGACAGTTGTTGGTTTTTCTCTGTAAACTAGCCAAGGTCTGGGTGATAATGAGGATGGAGGAGGAGGAAAGTAATGGTGTGGTCAAAACTAATGGGCATCTTATACTTGAACGTGTTGAACTAACTAACAAACAAACAAACAAATAAACAAACAAACACACCCTTAAGTGCTGTCCTGGAATTAGGGACACTGAACTCAGGGTCATTGACTCAGCCTAAAATTGTGACATATCGTTAAAAAAAAAATAATTGTCCTTGGTGAAAAATTAGAAACTAATTTATATATTTTTTTTTGTACTATTTTGAGTAGAATGAAAATTAAACCAACTATCTTGTATGTATATTTTTTTTGTTTCTTTCACAACCCCTGATTTATAGAGGGACACTTTTTTTAAATCTACTTCCTACTGTTGGTATGTAATTTTTTTTTATATAAATCTGTTGTAAGTTATTAAGTTACAAGCTTTAACTTGTTCATAAGGAAGTGACTTAAAAGGTGTTGAACTGTAGAAGAACACACACTTGTTGTTATGTGGTGAAAAGGACGTTTGCGTGTGTGTGTGTGTGTGTGTGTGTGTGTGTAGGAGACGATTAATGATGTACAGTCCTCAAGAAGGTATTTAACTATATAACGCCAACCTCTTCTCTTTATGATGTAATTAAAATCAGAACAACAAACACATTATATAATATACAGTGATGAAGAGAACAGAATCTTTCACAAACTTTTAAGCCTTTGGTAAAAAACATTTATGAAAACACTGATGAAAAACCAAAAACAATTAAGCTTTAAAACCATCTTGTGTGTGTGTGTGTGTGTGTGTGTGTGTGTGTGTGTGTGTGTGTGTGTATGTGTGTGTGTGTGTGTGTGTGTGTGTGTGTGTGTGTGTGTGTGTGTGTGTGTGTGTGTGTGTGTCAAGAAGGATCAAGCTATCACCAAAATTGTTTTAGAAATGTTTGATTAAAAATATCTATCATGTGGACGAAAAAAAAAATAAAAGAATAAAAACCCAAAAGACGAAGAATAAAACAGTTGTAAATAAAAAACAAAAAATGTGATAGATAAAACTGAAACATAAAACAACATTAAAGAAAATAATTGAGGAAAACTTAACAAGGGATAAATTGGCATAGATTTTTACTGAACAATATCTGAGGTGTAAAAATAACATTGAACTTTGGTTGTTGTGTTACGCGAGTCTTAGAGAGAGAAAATAATATGTGATAAAGAGACAGATGTTGATAAAGTGGTAATAGAGAGAGTGAGAATAAGTTTGATATAAAGAGGTTAGCTGGATGTAAGGGCGTGGCACTGTGTGAGTCAGTGAGTGCCTTTGTAACTATCAGTGCCAAAGGGTATTGTCCTTTTCCTTCATCCTCCTTCACTCTCTTTCGTCTCTCTCTCCTTCATTCATTCTTTCTCCCTTTGTTTCTCTCTAACTTATTCACCTTCTCTTTGCCTTTCACTTTTTCGTTACTTCTCCTTTTCATTCCTCCTTTACCCATCCTCTATATTCCTCCGGTCTTCCGCCTCTTCCTTCTTTATCTCCCTTCCTCCTCCCTCCCTCCTTCTCCTCTTCCTTCTTTATCTCCCTCTCTCCTCATCTTTCTCCATTTCCTCTCTCTCCTCCTTCCTCTTCCAATCTTTCTTATTCAACCCAATTTATTTCCATATTTTTTTTTTAGGTTAATGTTTTGTATTATTATTATTCATAACCTCCCGTGAAGAATGAATAAATATGTGTATATATTCAGCAGCCATTAAAAGAAAAAACCCGAAAAATTTACAAAAAAAAAAACATTAATAAAATAGAAATAAACTGGTTGTAAATATCTTTGTATATATAGAGATAATTATTACAATGTTTTCAATACTTATGTTACGAGAAAAAAATCTGTTTTGTTTTTATAGAAGGAAAAAATTAACCATAGAACAAAAAATAGCGAAAGAGAAAAAAATTGTATCCCATATTTATTGTAATATTTTTTGGGTAGAATTTCATGTATATAATTTTTTTTTTCCGTATAACTTATTTTACAAAGTGAGAGAACGTGAGAGAAAGTGAGAGAGAGAGAGAGAGAGAGAGAGAGAAAAATGTTTGTTGATGAGAAATGTCCAATTCTGCTGTACATATTCAGGTGAGAATATATGTGATCGAAATCTTAATAATCTTTTGGCTTTGTTTTATTGTCCTTCGTCCTGGGGAGAAAAACCCCCCAAAAAAAAAGAAATAAATTTTTAACCCCAAATAAAAGTATAAACACAAACTGAAAAATTATAAAAAAAAATTAAAGTACAAAATATAAGAATAAATAAATGAAATTAATATGAAAACAAATTACGAAAAAATAACTTGGAAAAATATATAAATATGAAAAATTACGAAAATATAAACAAAGATAAAAGACAAGAAATAAACTGAAACATGATAATTAATACAAAGATGACGTCACATTTAGGTTAGTGAAACAAACTCAGTGACAGTGATATGACGCTAACAGTGACGTAACTCTTGACGCTAACAGTGACGTAACTCTTGACGCTAAACTATATAAAACATACACCGCCTTAACTATGACGTCAGCAATTACATAAACAATGACGTAACACGACTCATGGACTTTGTTTACCCTCCAAAAAAGTGAAGATAAACAAGAGAAGAAAGACGACACAACAAGTAAAAAAAAACACCAATTATAACAAAAACATTAAATAAAAAGTTACTTACATATTTAAAACAAAATACTACAACACTAACGAGAATAATAAGTAAAGAAGATAGTAAAACAGGAGGAATGATTTACAGTGTAGAGAGGTGGATAAGAATGGTGATTATTAACTTTATCTATGGAACCAAGTGGCCAAGATACGGTATAAATCTTGGTAATGATTAATAGGTGTACAGGGTTAGTTCAAGTAGGCTGTATAGTACCTGAACAACGGCTTACTTCAGATTTTTTACGGAATAGCTCACCTGGCCATAGGACATCGGACCACAACGGGGCCTGGAGGAGCGGGCGGAGGGGGGGGTTGTGGAGAAAGAAATTGAGAATAGAAGAAAAAAGGTTATATTAATCTACACCAGAAGATGACGGAAAACCAGCTTTTTGGTGAGACAGATTGTATGAGTATGGAAACACAGAAGAAGGCAGAGCATTCCACAGTTTGGCTGTGAGGAAAAAGGATGTATTATAACGGGTTATTCTTGTGACCGACATCCACAGAGAAACGGTGGGCACCGCGGGCAAGACGAGTGTTACGAGCCCAAGGCCTTGCCGGTGGTACACAGGATGCCAAATCCACCGAACATTGCCCGTTAAAGTACCTGTAAGAGAGAGAGTGAAGCAACATTGTGAAGAGAAAGGAAAGAAAGATTGTCAACTAAAGGGGAGAGTTAATAAGACGAAATGCTGATTCCACCCTATCTAACAGTTGGACAGAAGAAGAGCCACCCCAGATATGAGAGCAGTACTCAAGTTAGGACGAATGAACCCCTTATAAACTTGAAGCAACTGCTCAAGAGTGAAGTACTACGGCATCTGTAAAGCTTTAGCAATGTTGAGGATGTGGGCTTCCATAACATATTAGAGGTAATGGTGAGGCCTAGCATATCTAATTTAGAATTTGGCAGAATGATTGTGTCCTGAAATGTGATTGGTGGGATCATCTAATTTGGGAAATGTAAATTGGTAAATACTGCGTTTTATTGCTATCAATTTAACCAAGTTTCTACCTCCCTATTCGGAGATACTGCACAGATCCGCATTGATAGATGAAACGATATCATCTCTAGAAACAGATCTAGTATGAGAGTTAAGGGAAGGAAATAGAAGACGGCACAATGTGGATAAATTACTGTACTGAACCTAATGCCTCGAGACCTAACCCAACATTATCCTACAGCATTAACCTAACCAACCCCCTCTATAGCATTAGTGTTATATATGTTATAATATCGGTGAAATATTATGTGAGCTAATCTTCAAGTGGAAAGTAAGATGAAAACTAAAATAAGATTAAAAAATAATATAATGTTAAATGACAACGAAAAAAATATATATAAGAAATGGATGATAATAATGAAAAAATAAATAAAATGAAAAACGACACAATATCAAAGAACAATAACTATTGAGAATCAGAAACACATGAAGATAATACTCAACACACGCAACTCAACACACGCAACTCAACACACGCAACTCAACACATACACAACACTACCCACATCTGTGTTTACACTTCACGTAAAACTATTTCTTCAACAGGTATATTATTCAGGTAATCGTAACTAATCACTCCAGGTAACTGCATAATATTACTCTTACGTATGGGCTCTGCATTTATTTGTCCATTGTAAGGTGAGGTATGATAGGTACCAGACAGACAGACAACTGACATAATGATCTATACTCTTGAAGCCACGGGTTATGTGCTGTCATAAGAAAAAATAATGTTTAAAATCAGTTGCCAATAATGTCGAGGTTTAATTTTGGTGAGTGTTGTGTCAGAATGATCTCCAATATATTGACACACACTCACACGCGCATACATACACACAGAGTCACATACATACATACATACACATACATACAAACATACATACATACATACATGCTTTACACACACACACACATATACATACACACACAAATAGGCATAACATAGCAGTGAGAAGAATGTCATATGTCGTTATAGGTAGGAACAGTTCAGGTGAGATACAGACAGCAGGAGAGAGATACAGTACAGGTGAGAGATACAGTACAGGTGAGAGATACAGTACAGGAGAGATACAGTACAGGTGGAGAGATACAGGCAGGTGAGATACAGTACAGGTGAGAGGTGCAGTGAGAGGCAGTACAGGTGAGAGAGGTGCAGTACAGGGAGAGGTGCAGGTGAGAGATACAGTACAGGTGAGGATACAGTACAGGGAGAGATACAGTACAGGTGGGAGAGGTAGCAGGTGGAGAGATACAGTACAGGTGAGAGATACAGTACAGGGGAGAGGTAGTACAGGTGAGAGGTAGTACAGGTGGAGATGCACAGGTGAGAGGTGCAGTACAGGAGAGGTGCAGTACAGGTGAGAGATACAGTACAGGGAGAGATACAGTACAGGTGAGAGGTGCAGTACAGGAGAGATACAGTACAGGTGAGAGATACAGTACAGGTGAGAGACAAGACAGGTGAGATGCAGTACAGGTGAGAGATGCAGTACAGGTGAGAGGTGCAGCAGGTGAGAGATACAGGCAGGTAGAGAGATACAGTACAGGTGAGAGGTGCAGGCATGAGAGAGATACAGACAGGTGGAGAGATACAGTACAGGTGAGAGGCAGGCAGGTGGGAGAGAGATACAGTACAGGTGAGAGAGACAGTACAGGTGAGAGATACAGTACAGGTGAGAGATACAGTACAGGTGAGAGATACAGTACAGGTGAGAGATACAGCAGGTGAGAGATACAGTACAGGTGAGAGATACAGTACAGGTGAGAGATACAGTACAGGTGAGGATACAGTACAGGTGAGATACAGAGCAGGTGAGAGATACAGTACAGGTGAGAGATAAGCAAGCAGGTGAGAGATACAGTACAGGTGAGAGATGACAGTACAGGTGAGAGATACAGTACAGGTAAGAGATACAGTACAGGTGAGAGATACAGTACAGGTGAGAGATACAGTACAGGTGAGAGATACAGCAGGTGAGAGATAAGCACAGGTGAGGATGCAGTGCAGGTGAGAGATACAGTACAGGTTAGAGACACAGTACAGGAGAGATACAGTACAGGTGAGAGACACAGTACAGGTGAGAGATACAGTACAGGTGAGAGATACAGTACAGGTGAGAGATACAGTACAGGTGAGAGATACAGTACAGGTGAGAGGTACAGTACAGGTGAGAGGTGCAGGTGAGAGATGCAGTACAGGTGAGAGATGCAGTACAGGTGAGAGATGCAGTACAGGGAGAGATACAGTACAGGGTGAGAGACAGTACAGGTGAGATATGCAGTACAGGTGAGAGATACAGTA